AGATAACCCTACTAGTTAATATTTTTACCTGCTGGTCAGGCTGGATCATTGCCAGTTGACAGTAAAAGAAAATAGGAAAGCTTATTATGTGCTAGATACATAGTTTTTATTTTTTTAATATCATGAGCTATAATTCTTATGGCTTTACATCTATTTAAAATTCATATATAAGCAGAATAAATTTTCGTGGACTGGTACTTCGTTTGGTAGGTGGAAGGAGCTGCTCTCTGCTTGATGGAGGACAGTTCCTCTTAAGAGGGCTGGAGTTGAAGGGCAGAGATCTGCACCTCACAGCTGCATGGGTTGGAACTCCTTAGGTGTCTGGCACCTCCATTTTAGCATGTCTATGTACTCATCCAAGAGTGCACGTCGTGTTGATCTGGAGCATGCTTTTACAATAGAGGCTATGTTTTATCTGGCAGTCATTGACCCAGTTGACCGTTTGTTGCCAAAGAAGGAAGAAGCAGGTCTCTTAAAAATATCTCTAAAGAACGATCAGTGGCACATTGCAAAAAGTTGGGTTTTTCCACATGCTGACCTTTGGGGAGGAGAGTGGAGTCCGTGTTGGTATTCTGAACTGATACGTGGTTCTGAGAACTTACTGCACTTGTTCTGTTTAAACATTGAATTCTGTATTTTTGTGCTGAACAAATTTCTGGTTGTTGGCTGGGTTACTGCCTTTAATTCTTTAAGTGGATTTTATGTTCAGTTTATTTATTTATATTGGAATTTCCTCTTTGAGCACTGACACTTTTCCTACAGAGGTATGGCTCTCATGGGTTCTTTTTATGCTGAACATCAGTAATGGTAATGGTGATGATCTATCTTCTGTAAGGTTGTGGTTTCCTTGAAAATATAGCACTACTTTAGTCTGGATTATAATTTGGGTAGTTATTTTTAAAGATGGGTCATGCCAGAACTCAATGACAAAAGATTTATTTGGTATCATCAAAGAGCTGAGCTTATTTCCCTCGTAACAAATGTGTAAGAGCATTCAGAACTCACCTCGTAACGTGCTTCATCGAACATGAAATGTGTTGTGGAGTGTGAAGGAATAAATGACCCTCGAGTTTTAAATTTAAAATCATTTCTGTGTAGAAATTCATGAATGTAGAATTATGAATGAATTCTGAGAAGGCTGTTATAGATGAATAGTTTTTTTCCCCTGAAAATGGTAAAAAAGATGGGAAATTTTCTGTATTGAGCTTACATGCGTAACTGATCCAGATTGCATGTTCTCCATATGACTGAAATTTCAGGGAAATTGAGTGCATTTATCTGTAGGTCCTTGTCACTGCTGTCACATGTGATCTTTTTCTATGATACCATCTCACAGTGATCGGGTTGTTTCGTCGTACGCACTGAAGAATGACACTGGCAGAACATAATGCAGGGCAATCACTTCGCTTAAGCCCGTAAGGATCTTTGTGATGGTTCATAAGAAATGTTTTGGTTTAAAAAGATTTGATGGAATAAAGGTAACAGCAGCAAATTTTTTTTAATCCCCAGTAACCATTTTGATCATGTTTTAAATGTTGGTCCTTTTATATAAAAGAATAAGGTAAAATAAACTCAATATTTTGTCACTGGTATATGAGATAATGTGTTTTAAATGTGATCTGTATAGGTTGATATTTTAGATGGAAGTCTTTAAGTAAAGTTGTCTTTTTAGGGGAAACTTTGCTGTAAGGAGAAGTTAGGAAGGTGTACTGTAAACGTAGAAGTACTCAGTCCTATGTGTGATTTTGTTTGTTATGGAAAAGTAAATTTTCTTTTCTCTTAACATCGCTTCCTTCACAGGATTTCTTGCAGGGGTGCTTGCGCTAAGTTTTAATTTCTGCCCCCCCTTTTTTTTTTTTAATGGAAACACAGTAATTCTGTATGTCTTTCAGTTTCAAAGCTCATGAAAGATAAAACAGACAAGACAGACTTTTTTTCATCACATCTGTGTGCGTCTCATTCTACTTTTTATTTTAAAATATTTTGTAAATTAAATTTATTTAGAAAAATACTTGGCTTTCGCGTGGTTATTTTATTTATTCATTTATTTATTTTTAATACGGGAAGAGCTTTTTAGCCGGGAGGTTTGTAAAATCTTTTTTTTTTTAAATAATTTTTGAAG